ATGGTATCATATTATACTAAATGTACATTTTTTTGATTTGATATATACCATCCAATTTTAAATTTACCTCAACAAAGACTTGCAAAATTCTTATGTGCATGTTCAGTAATCCTAAATAGGACATATATTGTGTTTTGGAGGCACTATCTTTGTCTTGCACTAGAACTGCAATAAGAATGTTTATTAATTACAAAACAATATGCCATATTCCATGTAGTTTATAATAGACAAATTATAAGATACTATTACAATTCTTTAAAATGTGTTTTTTAAAAAATGTAATATATATATATATATATATATATATATATATATATTTACAATATTAGCACCACCCACAATTAATCAAGCGTAGATTTTTTTATGTTACTATTTTGTATCTAAAATACTATTTTTATTTTTATTTTCTTATATTATAATATAAATATTTTAATTTTAATTTTTAATTATTTACCTAAATCCAAAATAGATATGTGCCCTTAAATAAAAGAAATAAAGTAGTAAAAATTGGAAATGAAGTTGCAACGATTTTAGGTGTGAAATTGCTTTAGAATAAACTTGTAAAACTAGAAGAAAAAAAAATACAAAAGAAAAAATAAAAACTATAGGATTGAAAGCTAAGAAACTAAGTTAAAAGTTAAGTTTATAAATTTTGTTTTAAGAAAAGATATGTAGATGGTGTTTTTACAAAGGTCTTAGAGAAAATATATTTAAATTCAGATTATTATAAACTTTCACATCTAATTTGAATAACAAACTACGTAACAATAATACACACACAACATAACCTGAAGAAAAAAAAATACCAAATATATAAAAATATAAATCTCGGTAACTTAAATATTTTTGTTAAAAACTATTATAATAGTCAATGTGTGCATTAATGCTACTTGTTGGGAAAAATATTGAGCACATTTCTTCAAGAAAAGTCCATAATATTCAATAGACAAGAGTAGTTGTAGAATACCAAGGATATACTTCTAATTTAAAATAAAAAATAAAAAATAAAAAAATGATTAATTTTTTTTTATAAGAGTTACAAAATTTTGAATGAATCGATTTTTTTTCTATATATATATATATATATATAGATAGATATATCTGTAAATTCTATTATGATATACACAAATTAAGCAGATAGAATGTTTTGAATGTCATGTATCTTGTTCTAATAATTCTTAGTTTATTTTTATTTTTTTAATAATATTTTGTAAAAAAACATTAAGAGATTCAAAACTAAAATGGTCAACAATAAGAACATATTATCTATTAATATTTTATATTATTTGATAGATAGAATACTCCAACCTACTTAATGATTTTAGATTTTTATTTTGAATTTTATGGCATCATTAAATAGATTATATGTCTTAATACCACCATTGTATGAATAATTTTATAATAAATATAGGATTAGTAGAAGAAATCACGAATTTTTAGAAGTAATAAACAAAGACACAATAAAATTTCTAAATATTCAAAAGAAAAAAATAAATTAAACTATATTTTATCCTAAAGAAAAATAGAGGCTTAAATTTTAACCTAAGAAGTCCAATTAGTTGAATTAAAGTAGTGTAATTGAGACAAATTAGATGAAAATAACTATAGAAATAAATTAGTTAATTAAGAAATTTTAATCAAATATTTAATACTTTGTAAGGAACTTACTATTTTTTATATAACCAAAAAATAATAATAATGATAATAATAAATTAATTTTATTGTATACCATTATCTATATATATTTTTATATATTCACAAATATTGACAAATAGAGATTAAAGGTGAATAAATTAATAAATTTTATATCTTTTCAAAGTTGTTTGATATTTTGCAACATATATATATATATATATATTCTCAATTTAATTTTTTTATATTATATCCAATATAAATGATGAAAAAATAAAATAAAAATAAATCAAGAATGTATAAAAATCAAATCACATATTGTATCCACATTTATTAGTTTTCAATAGGGTGATTTTAAGGCTTCAATTTACTGACGCAATATCCATAAAAATATTATATGGGAATATTAAATCAATCTACTTAAAACTCAAATCAACCAAAATGCCTCCAATTAGCTCACACATTGCCTAGGACTTCACACTCCATCACCAATCTCTCAATTTTGAATTTGAGAGATTAGCCACAAAAGTAGAAACATGCAACATGAAGACTATTTTACTTTGAAGGGAAGTTGGAGAGGTTTTGAGTGTGAATTGTGAAGAAATATTAATATGGGAAATATGACATGAAGTGAACTTCTTGAGGATGCTAAATAATGAAAGTAATTAATATATATATATATATATATATATATATATATATTCTTATAGTAAGAAAATTCAATATGTAGGTGGGTTAATTTAATATTCTCTTATCTACATTTAAAAAGTTTTGAATATATGAAAAAAGTGAATTCATTCCTAAGAACTATCAAGAAGAAATGATATGAGAATATAACCATTTATTATTGCAGATTAAAGAACAGTTGGATAAGGGTTTAAAATCCAAAATGGAACTTTCAACATGGATTTTATTTATTTATTTTCATATTGAATTAAAAAAAAGGGAGGTTCTTTTATGACTATTTACTTTCATCACCCATTGAATGTGTAGTTTGGAACTTTTACTCATGCTGTCATTATTGACATGTTTCAACAAAATTTATTAATTGTTGTATAAATTTAACTTTAACATCATAATTCAAGGGTTTTTTTCTTTGTCTTGATGCAATTTTTATTACCAAGTTGCAAAAAAATTGATGTTTATGCATTTTTACAAGTATTTCATTTTCATTTGTATTTGACAAAGCCCATGCCTACCATCAACATAGGGTGTAATTATTGAGAGAAGGCAGGTACAACGGTTCTATCTATTTTTTTAAGCAATAAAGCATGGCTACATCAAATAAATTCTATTCAATTTAACACGTCTTAAAATTTGTGGTAACTAAAACATACTAAAAAAATTACAGAAGTTTTTCCCATGATTATAATTTCGTCCATCCAAGAATGATGTTTAATTATTTATTATCTTTGTTAAGAGATTTTGTTACTTGTTTTCTATAAATTAATATATTGTAAAGCTATAAGATTGTGCAACATGAAAGTATAAAAAGTACTTTTAGAGAAATGAGGTTACAAAGATGACATTCAACTAGTAGAGATATTTTTCTAAACTATTGAAATGATAAGCATAAAAAATTAAAGCTGATTATGAGCCATAAAAATCATCAAATAAAATTTGAAAGTTGACCTCTAATAGATCTTGAAAGGAACTGTAAACATTTCAAAACAAAGATGTGCCTGCAAAGCAAAACTTGGTTAATATGACATTAGAATAGTTCTGATTAAAACAATTCTACTTGATACCAACTACATCTTTGTCTTGGTGGTTGTGTGTCATGCCCTAAATGAGTGCAATATTTATAAAAGAAAATGTAAGAATTTATCTTTTAAAATTTGATGATTATGTATAAGTATATAGGTCAATTAGGGCTTACCATATTCTACATTATATAGGGCATGTTGTAGCATGTATTTTATCATACATTTCCAAATATCAACATATTGGCTATACTAGTTTTATATTCACATTGCTATGGATCATGTTACAATTTTGATTATGCAATGTATTGTTTTCGAGTGGAAAAGAAATAAATCTACATCTTTTTGATGATGAATAGGGTAATTTATATACCAAGATATTCCTTTAATTTGATAAATAGAATATAGAAATTAAATAGCTTGATGATATCTTGTCATTGATCCTGTTTAATAAATCAGTGAATGTAAAAAACTTTAAAATTTATAGTTTGATGGCAAATGTATGTCTTTTGTATGAAAAAATTGATCAAATGCCATAACTAATTTATTAGAATAATATCGATGTATATATATATATATATATATATACATTAATTATGTAGCTAGTTAGTTAGTTATTGACTATACATAATCTTTTTTATTTGTGATTTTATGTACCTTTCTACATGGATAATTTTCATTATTCCATTGTATCATGTCTTCTCTGTCTGTGATCTATAATATGACTAATTGATTATGCAGCAACATAGAAAAGGTAATTTTCGCTTACATATTCATCTACAATAATTTATTCCCACTGCTGAATATTCCAAGTCATTGGCAAAATCAAGCAGTTGTAATGTAATGATAAAATTCTAAATATATATATGGAGAGGGTATTGCTAATGACACTACAAATTTTGCTACTACCTCCAAAATTAGGCATCCACCACAAGCCACCTACACCTTTTGAAAAGACTAAATAAAAAATATTTTTAAAAAATAAACTAATGAAATTAAAATAATTATAATTTATTAAACTTTTAGGATTTAAATTCAATAAATTAGTTTTAGGGTTTATAAAAGGGGAGGCTCTCTATGCTGCCCTCATTCCACAATTGTCACCACTAAACCATGGAATCAGAGCACGTTATGGACTGAGTTCTGTAAATAAATAAATAAATAAATAAAATTAGTTTGTTTTTGTTTGTTTCTCCATATAAAAATCCGGTAAGAAAACTGAAGGGAAACTTTAAAAAGTGGGGGGTCATAAATGGAACAAAAGCTCCAGATGACGATCAACTGCAAGTCAGAAGAACGACGCAGTTGGCTCCCTCCCACAGTAGCAATTCAGTTACACAATAGAATAGGGCAACAAAGGGAACCCACACACATACTCACACACTCACAATTGTGGGGCCAGTTCAACAGCCTCCCGGGCCCCTCGGGCAGAGACAAAATAAAGTCAAAAGCGATACTCATCAGCAAAAATAAAAACACTTTTTCCCGGTCACCCCCAGAATACGATCCGGCTCCGATACCCCGCATCACCCCGCATCTGTGTCCGTCCGTCCGTCTTCCTTCCGTCCCCTCCGCACGTTCGTCCATCCATTAGATCGTTCGTTCGTTGGTTGGCTTGTGGAGTAGTGCGGTGGGGGGGGGGGAGGGGGGGGGGGGAACCCCAAATCGGCACCGAAGTGTGTTTCGGCAACGAGAACGTTGTTGTTGTTGTTGTTGTTGTCGTCATCGTCGTCGTCGCCATCATCGCCATCAAGGTGCGTGTGTGCTGCTGGTGCTGCCTGCCTGCCTGCCTGCCTGCGAGGCTGCGGTGCGCGGGGGACGGGCAGGCAGGAAAGAAGGCAGGCAAACAGGCAGGCAGGGAAGGCAGGCGTGCCCTTACGCTAGTTACGTGCTCGGGTGTTGCCGCCCCGAGGTTGTTCTGCTACTTCTACTTCTTCTTCTATATATTCCGCTTCTGGGCTACATCCCCTCTCATTCCTCACCAACCAAACCGTCCCCATTGCTTGCAAGGCATCGCCGGTTCTGGCAGTCTTCAATCTGCGCATACTCGCTCATACTGCGCAGTTTGGCTCTGTTGATTATTATTTTTGCTTTCGAGGTAGCTAGGTGGTGCTGCCGAAGTCGACCAGGATCTAGGTGTGCGGTGTTTGCTAGGGCGGAGTTTCTCCGAGCTGGTGGTTCTGGGTGGTGTAGGGTGGTCTTTTCGGGGAGCGTTGTAGCGGTTTTGCGGTAGGATGGTGAGAGTGTGTGGAGTGAAAGATGGTATCTGGAATGTAGTGCATGCAGGTGTGCGATCGAGAATTGTAATTACGAGTCATTGGTGGTAGTGGGGCGCCTCGAAGTTGGTAGTGCGATTTGTTCTTGATACGACAAATTGATACTTGGCCCCTAGATCGGGCTCTGCGATGTCGGTGACGGGGAGCGTCCCTAGTCAGATCCTCTTTTTCTAATTCCCGCAAAAGCAGAACACCTTTGTTGGCGTAGGAGTTTGTGAGCCAAGGGTCGTGAGGTGGAGGACAGCTGTGTTCAAGCGTAGTTTTGAAGTGTTATCAGAGGTTGGATCATTGGCGCGGAATTACGTATGCCCTTCTTTCCTTGGTGGCCGAGAATTAGTCAGCTTCTTCGCTTGCAGTGCCGACTGCTGTACTGCCGCCGTTGCAGTGGTGGCTTTCTTTTAGGTATATGTTGTAGCACTTGAACATAGAAATGTATCCTTCTGACACTCTCCCACTGCTACAGTTCTGCAGAGCTGTGGAACCTCGATAAAGTCGCTTTGTGTCCCAACCCACCAGTCCCAGCGCTCTGGACTTGAAATTTCAAGTAGGGTCACGGCCTGACATCTTCACGACCTCCGATGAAAAGTTACTGCGCGGTAGTTAGCGTCAGCGACGCGCTGCGGGGTATCACGCTTACATCGAGCTGCTCAATGCATGATAGATAGTTACCCATGATATAACCATCGTGTTAGTGGTCAAGAGATCAACCTCTATCATGACTTCAACTCTGCCCGAGTAGCTGCAGGTTGGCACTTTATTCAGATTTTTGTTTTTTTGGGGTGTGTTACTACAAAATCTGAAGTTTTCCCTTTACACCCTGAGAAGATCCTGTACAACGCTGGTGAAAGCAGCTCATTGGTCGCACTTGGCCAGGAACGGACAGCTTACACTAGAAAGTATAGAGCGCCCTTGTCTCCTGCGCTTCAGAGTCGATGAACATGTTCTCAAGTGCGGACTTGGAGTTGTGAGCTTTGTTGTGAGGAATGCCGCATGGACCGAAGCCATGCGCTCCACATCTAGACGGTGATTTGGACGCTATGCTTCGGACCAGGCTTCATTCCCCTCAGCACAGGAACATCATGGTGACGACGAACTGTTTCGCCTCTGTCTCGAGCAATACACGAGGTAGCAAAGAGGAAGTGATACCAATAAAACCCTGCCTTGACACTAACGCATTTTATACTATCTTGTTCGCTCGCATTGATCATCGAGGCAGTTCGGAATGGATGTGTATCGAAGTTTCAGAGATGATCGCACGGTTTTCGATTGGTTAACTGTCATTATGGTTACCGCAATTCTACTCTGCTCGAGTTCTCTAGAGTCGACTGATCAGGTTATTCACGTACGTGTTCCTCTTGTGGGAATTAGGTTCTCATGAGACCTGTTTCAGCTGTGCTTGTGGTTTTGCGTACACTCTTGCAGACCCGGTGATGATACCCTTGATACTCTCCACGGCACCTTCTTATTATTTGGTGAGCATATTCTAGATCGTTTACAACGGATGGCTAGGCTCTTGGAATTTCAACAAACGTGCTCTAATGAGACCTTGCTTGGGAGTTAAAGAGGCGTAAATTCCTGTACACGCGACTGTGCTGATTGCGATTATACATGACGTTGATACGCTGTTTGTGGCTTAGTTTCACTTGTGTTTGACACTACAAGTTTCTACAATCAATCATAATTGGGCACGAGTTGGACGAACCTCCAGCCAGTAGTCGCTAGTCCACTGACGAAGTGTTCAACTGAACCCTATTACCCGATGCTATACGAATGTACCGATGCTGAAAAATTGTCCGTAATGATGCTTGTGAATTCAGTTGTTTGCCAGAAACAGACGTTCTCCGATTCGATGCGCGCCGAGCTTCGTAAGCCATGGTTGAGTGCATTCAGGCACGCATCGAGATTCGGCGGCATACTACTTTGCCGAATAATGGCCATTTTGGCAGGTGTATGGTGTACAATGTTATGATTCTGTCATGTTTGTCCATACTGCGATCCCTCCTTTCGTTACATCCTCCAAGGACCGCTGTGTTACCAAGTTTTTCCTGCATTTGTCAAGGAAGTTCACTGGTGTATGGACAAACCCTGTTGGTGCTGCAGAGGATTGGTAACTTGCAGAAGCTGTGGAATGATATGACTCTTCCCAATCGGATCCCCGTGTCTGTGAAGAACCTTGGGCATGTGAAGAAAACCTAACTTGAAACACCCTTCAAATTTTCTGGTAACTCTTTGTAGGTATGAGCATCCGATTCTGTCCTTTTGCTATGGGTACTGAGTGGGGTTTTCTGGGCTAAAGTACTGGTGCATGCTCTGATTTTTTTTTTGTTGAAGCCTTCAAAATTTTGAGGGTCAGTCTGCTTTCTTCGCACCTGAGGCGACTGTTATTAACATGCATCTACCACTTACTCGTGCTCAAAATATTTCGAAGTCTATCAGTGTGACTAGGCCAGGGTCTTAGATCCTTGTGGATCTGGGTGGATCGCAGCTTTTCTAATTTAACAGGCGGATATGGCTGTTTGAATTCTTGGAACGCAGCTTCATCAGCTGTACATGGGATAGAGAATCGATTACCTAGGATCAGGTAGCATTCAGGATCCTCATTGGTCACTTCACTTCTCATGAGTTCTTCGTTGGTCAACTTCAGTCCCACGGAGATCAGTAGTTAGAGCAAGGAGTAACTATGTCATCTCCCGCATAGCTGAACGTGGGTTTCGAAATGTGTGCAATCTCCATTTAATACGCAGGCCTTGTGAATCTTATAATCCAGTTACCCAGCAGGTTTCTGAGCTCCGTTCTGTACTGATCACCAATCTGCATCGTGATGTCAGACATTGTCTTTATGATAGACTATTCGACTATGCCTGTCACCTCTTCTGTGAGTTGACACCAGCATCTTTTTTTGTGCACTTCTGTGTTGGTAATAATTCCATTGGAATTGGAATCTCCCCAGTCTCTTAATCTTATCCTGTCTCAATGGAGTTCATCTACGAGCACGAACAAGTTATGCAAGTTAGTATTCAAGCTCAAATGAGATCAAATAGGTATGACTGTTTTTGTAAGGACCTTATTTTCTCTCTGCGGTTTCTGATAGCGTCATTTAGAGGTTGCTTCTGGGTGTGCTCAAATCAATTGGAACTTATCGATATTTGTGAGGTTGACATCCAACACATCATCAGTAGAGTATGTCACTGACAGAGGAATCATTGGTGACAATTGTGATGCAAGTGCCATTGCATCTTTTAATACAATGCCAGCTGAGTCAAATGCATTGGAGATAATTGTCTGCTTTGTAATGCCTCAAGTTAGAACCATCGCGACTGCCATGGCAATCTACAACATTTCCAGACTCATCACGGAGTGCTTTTACGACTGTTTCCTGAGATAAAGTTACCTTGATTTCGTAAATTGTTATGTCTCACGGTATTGGGAAAGGCACCATGAAGTCATGGAGGTGCCCTTTGGCAACTCCAGTATCAGTTCATTGAGCCCATCATTTAGTATCTTTATGACTCAGTAAGTTTGAGAAGCACTCAGTTGCGGACTGTTGGTGGTACACTGAAATTGTTCGACGTGCTTATAATTGGAATCGCTCATGTAGCCGTAAAGCTCGGTTTTCACATTATGTGAAGAACTGTACTTGTCAAGCCAGATAGGCTTCAGCTTTTGATGTCAGGTAGTAGCTAGTGCATACTCGTCTGTAGTGTTTGCTACCATGTGTATGTTGTAGGGTCTGCATCAAATATATCTAGTGCACCATTTTTTCTGCATCAGTTGTATCATAAAGAGTACCTTCCGTTTTGAAGTGTGCAGCATGTTTAAATGTGCATGTATTGACGCATGGCAGTTTCTAAAATAAGTAAATTGAAAATGTTTTTACTTCACTCCAGTGTAATGTCTAGCCTGTCAAAACGTGGTTGAAGTTAGATTGGTTTGCAGAGCTGAGCCTAGAGTTTATTGATATGTGTCGAGCTGTCAGTGGTCGGCATGGTCGACAACAAGATACGCTACGAACATTCTTCATGTGTTTCTGAATTCGAGATTTTCGGATTTTATTCTTATCCCCCAAGTTACGTAATGTGATGTCTGTTGGTTTTTTCATGTTTATCTGGAAGAAGTTGCTGATGATTAAGTTTCGAGTATGCATGGTGATAGCAACTTTAAAAGCACTACCTCAGCACATAGTACTTAGAACGGCCATCAATATTTCCTTTTCAGTTACTCCTGCATTTATCAATTGCATTCGATCATTTGGTTTCCTACTTGTATTGGAGATGTTGCTGCTTTTAGGGATGTGGCGTTGATTCTTTTTTTAGCAGTTATCAGCTGATCATTGACGTATTAGATGCTATTGAATTTGATGCAAAAAATGCACAGAGCTGGAATAGAATGGAATGGAATTTGATTGGAGAAAATGAGCATCTGCAATGTTAGCTTGTTGAAAATTCTGAACTCGGTTTGGATTCACTTATTTGTTCATTTATTATCCACACATCATTGTACTATAAAAATAAAAATAAAAACCCTTCCCCTAGAATATACCAGCTCTCAGTTTTTCATAATTATACAAACAATTCTGGAAATGTGCGATGCATTCAAAAATAGGTAGTTTATACTAATTCTTATTCGCATTTTCTGTGCTAGAAGTTCGCTTCTGATACAATGATTTGCTAAAAGTCTCTTCCATTATGAGAGTTCGTTTATTATTTCATGTGTTTTCTGATTAAAACATATTATCTACAATGAGGACTCAACTCATACCAAGTTAATCATGAACTTTGACATCTTCTTTATCAATAACATGTGTTTAAGTTAAATATACATTATTAACATCAACCTTATTCAATGAATTGAGAATATAAAATCCTATATATTCATGTTGCATATTATATTCATATAAATAATAAGTAATTTGAAATTTATTGCTATGTTTATAAATAATTCTTTAACAAGAAATAAATGAGTAAAAAAACTTTTGTTCATGAATCATGTAGCAACATTTTGTAAATATTTTACATACAATAATAAAGACAATTTTAGCTTGATTATATACTAATACAAATAATATATATATATATATATATATATATATATATATACATATACATATATTTAATAGAGAATGTTAAATAGACCTAAGTTTTTACTAAATCGACCCATTCTAACCATCATGAAAATAAATAAATGACCTCTAGATTCATTGGGTCTATTTTGTAATATCATGGGTCTATTTAGAATTGTCCTATATGTATGTATGTATGTATGTATGTATATAATTTTAATGAATAGATAAATAAATATAATTTAAAAAATAAAATATTTTATTTCATTTCATTTTATTAAAATAAGAAGTAATATGGATTTTACGCATATATTCACATTTTTTTTCCTTTAAATTTGATTCAAGAAATACACAGACACACACACACACACACATATATATATATATATATATATATATATATGTATATATTTCATAATTTAAAAACAACATATTCTAAAATTATTTTTCTACAATTTGCTTTTAAAGATAAATTAGAGATTTCTAAGAATACGAGTTTTTATTATATTATATATGTATTTTAATCATTGAAATAATTGAACCACTATTTCGACATCATAGATGCTGTATATTTAGAATTGCAAAAATAGATTGTACGGAATTTATAGGAATTTCGCTGTTCATAGAAGAACTATCATAGAGAAAAACTTGCAAATAAACCTTTCTTTAAAGCTTTTGTAAGAATTTGTAAGACCTTATATAAGAAATAGAAAGTATGTAAACATTCTTAGTTGTAGTACAGTCTTTTACCTAGAGTCTTCATGTATGTGGTGCAATCGGTAACCAATTGGATAGACTGGTATTTCTTCGATTTGACTACTCAGCTCCATATTATTAAGCAATGCATTAAACGGGAATTGAAAGCGCAGGCAAGTGTTTTAAATGATCTGCACGTACTATTACGGAGACAATAGACCCTTTTATTGATCGAGATGCGTCTTTTACAAAAGGCTACGTTGGTGGAAGCGTCTGCCCTGGCCATAGTTCATTTACATTTCATTTGAGTGATTCAATATCACTGGAGGTGTGTATTAATTGCTCACCAGATGCTTGGATGCGCTACCTCATACCAACCAGGGCGTCCTCGTTAACACAGAACGTTCAAAGAAAATAAAAAAACAATAATAAACAACCTTCAATGATTATAGAATCCTAGAACTTTGACCATCTAAAATTGCTGCCCAACAATGAGAGCTATAAATCAAAACTGAAAAATAAACCAGAAAGACTACCTCGCTTTTCACTGCCTTCCCAGAGACACAGAGTACAAGGCGAGATGTTTTCGTGACGAAGGAGGTGGAGTATTTTACGTGCAGAAGGCATATGTACGGATTGGGGCGCCTCTCCCCACCATCTCCCATTTGATTTCAGGCTAAAGAATTACATTTAAAGTAAGGAAGCGGAAGGTTGAGCGGAAGTAAACCGGTAAATGATACCACGCTCAGAACTGCATTGAAGAATGCAGTTCTTCGAAAGAATAATTGCGCCATGAGTATACGACGAATCAAGTGGCAGGCAACCAATCGTTGTGAGTGTATCATGATGTGAGGCTATGCTGTAGCCGTCTCCTGAGCTCCGCTCTGACATCCAGTGCATCAGAATGTCACAAAAAGCTAACAAAAGCGAACTTCTCTATGCTAGTGCAGCGTACAACCAAGAAGCTCCAACTATCTCTGACTATGTATTTCTGCACGAATCGATGGTACACCATCAGCGGCTTTTAAAGATACAGTTTCAGCAGTGATATATAGCACAAAAAAATAGGAATTGAAATACTATGATGAATCGTAGGGCATAGAATGTAAATCGAACCTTAGGTACTGGCGATCAATAGCAGTGTTGCCCAGAAGACCACGATTCTCCTCCGCACGTCTGACAATGTATGGCACAAACTCGGGAACGGTTCCGAATGGCAGTACCTTGCTTACTCGGAAACCAGCGTGAGCCAATGACAAAGATAGAACATCGGCCATTCCTTTCAGCTGCGCGAACTGCACGCGTGGGTTTCCTCGCGACAACCCAAGCTCTTGGACTTTAGCAGCAGCTGCCCGTCCTGCGAATCGCCAACCATGACTTCTCATCAATGACTACGTTACCCACCACATCGATAGTCTACAAACTATAAAAGAAGTACTATGAATGGTACTCCTCTAATCATTTTATTCTGGTTTAACATACACTTAAGGATACGCTGCACAAGGAAACACAAAAATAAAAACTAAATCGTGCGCTGAATGGTTATCAATGATGAAGCTGTACATGTTTAGGTTGTGAACTATGACATGATAACGATATTCAGCACAACTATGTCAATTGTCTCACCTGATTCCATATTGTGAGTTGCAAGTACCACAGATACATCTTCCGATGATGCCTGCTCCAGCATGTACCCCGCACAAAAATTGTAACACCGATGCGTTGCTCCGATGTCAGAATGAATTGGCGAAGGAACTCGCAAAGCAGCTGCTAATGCATTCTCTCGAGAAATGTAAGCACCCCGCACAACTTTCACACCATAAGATAAACCTCTATGATGTGAACTCTTTACTGCAAGGCTGAGTCGAGGGAAAGAATCCTTCAAATAAGTTTGTATGGTTGCGTATACCAGGGGCAAGCGTCCTCTGTTAAACTCGGACGCAGCCACGTTGATGATGTAGTCAATTGCTGGCTGCACTACAGAGTACTCTGCGTCTACCAAAAGAGGGATACCTTCAGATTCACAGGCCTGACAGAGCTTTGCAAGTCGGTTATGAGCATGAGCCAAATGACTTTCTTCCACTTCTGACAAAGGTTCGGGGGGCGACTGAACGTGGTACGTTGGACTACTTTCTGCAAGAACAGGAATTGCATCTTGCTTCCAGGGAAGCTTGTGATCTTTCTTCACATGCTGCCATCGGAGTAAATTACTCACACGCTCAAGGATTTGAATGGGACAAATGGCGGAGATTTTCACACAAGCCATGCTTACCTGATTGACAAGTCACTGAAATGTTGAGTTCACGATGTATGTCATGAAGTTTAGCAACTGATGGCGGAGAGAATTTCAATGAAACAAAAAAAATTCTTCGCTGTCTCAGAAGAACATGCGCAACTTACAGATTCTGGCGGTAGTTGACTGGTCTGTCTAACAACTTGCAAAAACTTTTCCAGGTTTTGATCACAGGAATCGCTGTCGGTTGCATCTTCAAGGCCGTAGGTCATGACGCCGCGTAACCCGAGCTCCCACATTCTTGCCAATGTTCTCGAGGCTGCTTCAACATTCTCTCCAGCGCAGAAGTGGGAATAAGCAGTTTTATCGAGCACTGGAACAACTGCCGCCCTAAACAGAGGTGATTTCATCCACGAAGACGTGAGAATCTTGATGCTCAAGTCCACGACGGGCTCATACGCAACCAATTGAAGATTCAAGAGCGTTTTGAGCAGCTCCTTCGAGGTCAATTTGGAAAACAATTGCTCCCCGTTGTTTACTTGTAAAATATCATCCGAAGTGTTATTCGTTGTGAAGGGATCGGCCTTAGTTGTCACTCCTCGAGCGTGAACCGGTGTCCTCGTCAAACCCAAGCCCTTGCACAAGGACGAGAGCTGCACACTTTCTCGGACCTTGCGCCATGCCATCACAATTCCGACAGCAGCGACGATTACACCAATAAAAAACAAACAAGTGCGCTTGAAATCTGCGAAATAAGTGTACAGATCACGGCCTGCCTGACCGAAATAATTGCGAAGACAGACGGAGCCCTAAAGGTTCTAAAACAACAACAACAACGAAAATACGCACGCTCAAATAGAACTGTTAACAACGGCCATGGCTACGCTACGCTACGCAGTGGTCTGAAAGAGAGATCTGATCATCGCTCAAGTCGAGGAACACGAAGACTGAGAGTGATGCTCCTGCCGGACAGCTGGAAACTGGCACACAGCACGGGAAGGGGGGGGGGGGGGGGGGCTTTGTCACATTGCCAGAGAAAGCAGCGCATGGAGAAACTCACCCTTCCATAATTTGACGAGGATGGTAACTATCTATCTATGCCCGACAATCGTATAGCTGCGAACATCGACTCTACATCCGTATTCTTTCCAAACCCCCATTTCATTTGGTCTATGCAGGGGAAACTCTCACTGTGGCCAACCTCTTTAAACTACACACTGTTATTTTTTCTTTATTTTTGATTTACTTTCACTTTTTTTCATTTTTTCTTTTTATTATTATTATTATTATTATTATTATTTGTTCTGTAATTGTATCTAAATGTATTGTGAACCCATTTATATTTCAAAACTCATGTAGAAAAAATAATAAAGAATATGAAATAGTCATAGCCTAAAATTTTAATTAGATTTGTTTTCACAAATATATATATATATATATATATATATAATTGTGCCTTGCATAACCAATATCTTTTAACTAGTATTTCTTATTTATATAATAATATTTGTCAGAATAGAGGTCATTCTAAGGTCATACTTTTTTTTTTTTTTTTTTTTTTTTTTGCATAATTAATAAAAAAGTTGAAATTTTATAATTTAATTGATGAATAAAAAAGAGCTTATAATAAAAGATTTATTTGTCAACTAACTACTTAATAGCTATGTTGATTAGATACAATGTTTAGTCTAATCCTTGCATACAATGGATTAGTCCATCCATAGTCTCACTCTAATGTACTCTCAAATTGTCTCAAAGATACTAAATAAATTATCTCCATCATTATTGAAGCACTAGCATAAAGATTCTAACATGTAGAACACTAATTTTTAAAATATAGCAGTGATGGCAATAGTTGAGGAAAGGAATTAAATCTTCCAAATTTTTGAAGCATTCAACACAAAAGGCTATGAACATCTACAATTAGCCTAAAGCCATATTAATAGATGTCTTCATTAGTATTGAAGCCACTATAAGAGAAATTATCTTGTGCTTTGTATTTATCTTGATATATATATTTTAATAGATATAAATTAAAAAGAATGCTATTGTAAATTTTTTTCAAAGATGAAGTATACTACAAACAAAAAAACAATACATGCCAAGAAAAGAAAGATTGAAGTTAGTGAAGTTATAGTAGAAGCAACCAACTTATATTGAAGAAAGTGATAAAAATAATAGAAATAACTATCCACTTGTATATGCTCAAAATCAATAATTTCTTTGTCAATTTTAGCTTATTATCTTTGGAATAATTTATCTTTATTAAATTAATAGATAAGCTTAAATTATGATGAAAATTGCTTAAATTTAATAGCCAACAACTCTTTTTATGCTACAAAAGTAGCATCAACAAATTTTTTTAATATTATAAGAATTGCAAGTAATAGAGTGTATTTGTTTTAGTACTAATGAATATATTTATATCTTTGGTAGAAGAAGAGCTATTATAAGCAAAGTTATAAATTATATGTGATTGTTCGTTTTACTTATTTCGGAAGAAACCTCCTAGCATAAACCCGTATAGGGAGATTAGAACACGGGGAATGATTAGTTGCTTAAGCGTTTACATTAGGGTCACACAATCAATTACCTCCTGAATGTATCGTCTCTATTTCCAATATCTGAACACATAAGGAAACTATAATCTCCTCTTTCACCTTATCGGTCTCTTCCTTATAGCAATTCAGTCATACCAATAACTGCTATTTCCACCAATATATTCACCCTCATAATCTCCAACTGTAATACTATGCCTTCACAGCTTTCAGTACACAATTACCCTTGTTCTAATCACTAGAATTCTTCACACAGAACTGCCATTCACATTACAGTGTTTCACACAAACACAGACTCATTCTCTCTGCTGAACCACAATCAGATTTCAACATTCAATCTTTCTTCTTCTCAAATAATACCAATCACATTTCCATTCGATAATTCACTTCACAATATTTAGAAATTCTCAATCCTCTTATTCAAAGAAAATAACAAACAAAAGAAAAGAAGTAGCACCAAGCTTACCCCGGCTCACACTATCACAACAATGGCATCTTAATTAATTTCTACAACTCTTATATACTTTCCCCTGATTCTCCAGATTCTAATCGTAATTGTGTAATTAACCGCTTTTAATAATTAAATCACTCATCCGTCGTCCTGAATTTCCTATTATATGGACTATTAATATATTTTACCAATATCTTTCAAAAACGAATTAATATCTATTCTACATAGTCTCACTCTTATCTGTGCAGCGTCCTCCTAAACACTCAATTGATACCTATCTAAAAATTATCTAACAAAACTCTACAAAAATTGCGATTCCTCTGGCCTATCTAATTAATCAATTGCCATAGTATCTGTTATTGGTTCGACTGATTCTGGTTCCAACTGAAAATCTTCGTCCTCCTCTAATCCTTCCATTAGCTCCTGCCTCAAGTGAGCTGAAAGGTCTTCATTGTACTCACCCAGTTCACGGACTTGAGCTTCCAATTTCAGGATCTGGGCATCTCTCAATTCCAACTGGCGCTGAAAGTGACTCCTTTCTTCTAGAACTTCGGGAACTGGCAATGTTGATACTTGTGCTTGACGAATATTGACTAAATCTTTTGCCAATCTTGTCACCTCGATGTTCAAGGCCTCAATTTCAGCCATTAACTGCTCCGTTTCACATCTGTATTGGTCACTTAATATCAATTTCTCTTGCGCCAATAACTCGGCCTTTTCTCATTCCATTACCAACTGACCCTTCACTTTTTCTAGTTCCAAAATTGAATTACTGCGAGTCCGGAATAGTTCTTGCCTGTGGATCTCCACCATGCGTTCTCTTTTTTTGTCCCAAGCTTCCTGTTGTTCTCCAATTTTTCACTCTAATAACAGCTTGGATTCTGCATTCGCCTGGATGATCCATTCTTGCTCTTCAATTCTTTGGGTCTGCTCCGATATCACCTTTTTGCTTGCCTCTAATTCCTGTTTATCACTGCCTTCTACATCCAATGCTCGTACCATGCAATGTATTTGTGAAATGTACTTTAATAGAACATTTTTAAGATGTATGCCTTCCGGTAGTCGGCCCTGTGGAAATACTAACTGATTGATATCTAACAACATCGGGACTTCATTCTCTTCTCCCACCACCGAATGAATCGGATCTGTTTCCGGTACCACTAGATGATTGGATTCTCCAATTTCATGTATTATCTTCGTTGTATTGACATTCGGTACCAACAAATTCCGTTCTCGCTGCAGAAGCACTGACATTGGTTTAGAACTTTCTTCTACTGGCGATGTTTGCTGCAATGTGTACGTGATCACAACATAAACATAATTGGAACATAGCAACGCTGTAAACTTCTCTATTTTGTGCTTGGCTCCCATTTCCACATGAATACGGGTTGCTACATAAGCTGCCCAATTGAACACCATCCCTTCAAACGCCCCTACCGCTGCAAACATTAACCGTCTTAACATATATGTATTATGTCAATACAACCCTAGACGCCTCAACACGAAGTGCAACCATTCCATGAGCTCTGGTATAATTGCCTCAGCCGTCCACCAACCTTGGTTCTTCTCAAACGATGACATGCCACCTTTGAAATAACTTCCCGGTCGGAAGTCACTAGACTCCTCAACATCCACTGCAATCTCTCCAACTGGAAGAAACAATACTTTTTCGAGGATCTTCTCATCAATACCGATAACGTGCCCTTATACTACGCTCAATCCATCCTGTGGGTCATAGTTCGCAATGTATTCTTCCACTAATGCCACATTAATTGAAGGTAAACTATCTGATCTTCGCAAAAACTGAAACATTTTCACGTTTCAAAAATCTCGTATTTTCCTTGGCGTCCAGCAAATCTCCAGCTTTATAGGCTCCATATTGGTAACGATTACTACAGATGGTGGTCCTAAATTGCGTTTAGCTTTCACATTTTGGTCACTTTTTTCTTTGTTCATACCTCTCTTTGCACTCTCAATCGCCATGACGTACACTCTTTTAAGCTCTAACCGTCAATACTATGCTCTAGTACTCCGAAACACCCGAAATTGTAACACCAAAAAGAAACAATAACAGAATGCGACACTTGAGAATGACCGTAAATGGATACCCCACTCCTATTCTTTTACCTAGTGGTGATAACGACAACATGTTACCCCTACTGTCCGTTTCTCACCTCCGTCCCATCTGACACATTAGTAATTATTAACTATCCTTTTAGCCGCCTCTACACCCTAACGCACTTAATTAGGTCTATCCTAAGTACATTCGACGTGACCTCCTCCAGAAATTAAAAACCCGTCCCGGATTTTATGTATAATATAATCGTAATCGGTTCCCGTTAATGCGGGTACTGAAATGATGACCCATGAAATCTTCCAATTGAACAGACCCATTGGATAACCCTTCAGTTACACGATATGGCCCATGCCAGCAAACTTGAAATTTATCCGAAAAATGATTAAACCTGCTATCATACAACAATACCAAATCATTGGGCATAAAACTCTTCAGATGCAATTTACTATCATAGTAACTCTTCCACCGTTTTTAAGTTGCTTCTATGTTGAAAAGAGCTGTAGCCCATATTTCATCCAATTTGTCTATGTGTTCGTCAAGGCTGCTATGGTAGCATTTATGAAATGGGTGCCGCGATCGCTAACTAATTCTTTTGGACATCCAAATTGAGTAATAATATTCTCGTACAGAAAAGTGGCCACCGTACTGGCATTATCATTGCGGGTAGCAATAGCCTCCGCCTATTTGATTACATAATCTGTGGCGACTAAAATATATTGCTTTTGTCCATGTCTCGATGTTGGTGCAATGGATCCAACAAAATCAATTCCCCATTTTTTAAATGGTGCTTGTGCCAAGATTGGTACTAACGACATCGTTGAAGTACCCGTGGGTCGACCAATTTGTTGACAGGGATCACAACGACGAACAAATTGGTCCGCATCAAAAAACATTGTGGGCCACCAATATCT